CGCCCCCCCCCCCCGCCGGCACCCGCACTGCCGCCCATGTCTGGTAGGTGCCGTCCCCACTGGGGCGCGTCTCCACGTGCTCGGTTTCCAGAGCCAGCTCCTGCCCGCCCAGCCACCAGCTCAGCGAGATGGCCCGGGGGTAGAAGCCCAGGGCCCAGCACTTCAGTGTGACTTCGCCGTCAGGGGCCTGGTGCTTTGTCACCTGCACTGTGGGAGGCTCTGCAGGGGGGCGGGGAGGAGGCAGGTGAGCTGCAGCTGTCCCCACTTGGGCCTCTGCCATCGGGTGGAGGCCAGGAAGTGGGGACGGGTCCCTCTCCAGGGGAGGCACTCAGGCACTGCGAGGCACAGACAGCCCAAGCCAACAGCCCCATGGGGCTCTGACCTGTGCATTCGTGGAGGTGTGACCTCCCAGCCCAGCCACCAGGAGGATCCCTGGTTCTGTGAAGGCGTGTTCCCCCTGCTTCCCATCGAGACCCTAGGCTTTCCCAGAGACCTCATGCCCCTCCTTGACTCCCTGCACACAGCAGGGCCTGGTCCCAGCTGGTGGATGGAGGTGCCCTCTTGGGGGGTGGAGCCCGGGGCAGGCCTGTCCAGCTGTGTGACTCGATGGAGGCGCCCTGTCCCCCCAGCTGAAGCAGGGAGCAGGTAAGGTGCTGGAGGTCACAGAGCCGAGCCCTGGAGCTGGGGCCAGGATCCAGAGGGCCAAGCTCAGGGCCAAGTTCAGACCTGGCCCCAGGAGCGCCTTCTCCGCTGCCTCAGTCCAGTCGTGTGGGCATCCTCATGGTGCCACCAGGGAGCTAAGCTCGCCCCAGCCTTGGGGAGCGCCCTCCGCCCTCAGCACCCCACACCCCTTTCCCCAGGGTCTGGCCCAGCTCTGCGTCTGGTTGTTGGCATGCTGTCTGGGTTTGGAGCTTAAGAAGCGCGTGCTGAGGGCTGGCAGTTAAAGGTGCTGGATCCCACAGGGCCCACGCCATGGCAGTTGGAGTCCTGGACCTGGCAGCTTCCAGCTCACTTTCTCTTTCTCTCTCTCTGGCTCCCTCTGGCCAAATTAAAAAATAATAACAGATGGAAATAAATAAATAGATTAAAAAAAAAAAAGCAGCACCTACTGAATGTGCCGGGGGCCCAGGAGTGTGTTTAGGGCAGGGAGATGGGGGCGAAAGGCCTCTGTCTCTCCGAAGACAGCAGCCTGGGGGCTGGTGTGGTGAGGGATGTTATCATTTTTAAGAATAACTTTCCCCTTATTTGTGGCAGAGCATGTACATGGGTATGAGAGAGAGGGGGAGAGAGAGGGGGAGAGAGAGGGAGAGAGAGAGGGAGAGAGGGGGAGAGAGAGGCAGAGAGGAGAGAGAGGGAGAGAGAGGGGGGAGAGAGAGAGGGAGAGAGGGAGAGAGGGGGAGAGAGAGAGGGAGAGAGGAGGCATGTGCACCCTTCCTGGGGCAGTTCCTGTCCTCCAGCCTTTGAACTCTGGACACCTGCGTGCGCCTGGCAGGTCTCAGGCTGATCAGGCTGGGGGATTTGAACTGCAGTTGCCATGCGGGATCCAGCTGCTCTTGAGAAGGGAATTGAGGCTGTACCACGAAGCTGGCCAAGAAAGCTATCTTAGGAGTCGGTCTCCGGAGGAGCAGAGCCACCCCCGTTAACTCTGGAAAGGAACTATGGGCCCACGAGTTTCTTCCTTTTCTTTAGCCTCCTGGTGGGACTGCAGGCACAGGCTGGGCTTTTTTTTTTTTTTTTTTTTTTTTTAGGGCAGAGGTCTTGGGGTGGCGGGCTGGCAGGTGGTATGGTGGTTAAGGTGCTGGACTCCCACATGGACGACAGTGGTTTGAGTCCTGGACCTGGAGGCTTGTGTTCTCACTTCCTCTGTCTTTCTCTGGCCAAACTAAATAATAATAATAATAATAATAAAGCTGAGCTGTCCTGCCTCGCTGCTCCATGCTGTTGGATTACAGGTGTGGTCACTGCAGGGCAGGGATTGAACCCAGGCCTCCTGTGGTCCTGGCCTGCCGGACAGCGTCTTAGCATGCCCCACTTCAGAGGGCCTGGTCACCCAGTGGAACAGCAGAAGGGAGTGAGACCTGGAGCCGGGGGCTTCTCGCCCTGCGCTCCTCACCTGGCAGCGAGCAGGGCGGAGGCCCGAGCGTCCAGGGCCAGGCTTCCCTCCCACCCCACGCGAGAGGCCGCTTCGGCCTGGTCGGCTCTCTGCGCCCCAGAGGGCTGGCCGAGGTGGGGGCACCGCTGCATGCTGCGTGTCGGGGAGGCGGGGACCGCCGAGCTGCGCCAGCTCACCTGTGCGGGCCAGGCTGCGGCCGCCCAGCTCCAGGTACCTGCGCAGCGACGCCAGGCAGAGGCCCTGCAGGTAGGCCTTGTCGTACTCCGCGTAGCAGACCCGCAGAGACGCTCGGGAAGGCGCCCGATGGGTTTAAGATGGCCCCGGGGCACCGGGGAGCTGGCCACCGGGCCCACAGCCTGCCGGCTCTCCGCTCCGCCCCGGCTCCACGTGCAGGTCACTGGGATCAGGACCCAGCAGGGCCTGAACGCCCGAGATGAGGAGGGGAGCCAGAGCGGGTCCTCCCGGCCCCTCCCGCCCTGACTGTCCATCTGGCTCATCGGCCTCCCTCCGGCCCTGCAGAGGAGCTGAGGGGCGGGGAGCCCCCTCTGCCCTTCCGGGGCCCAGCTTCTGCAGAGACTTCACGGCTGGCCTCAGGCGTTCTGCAGCCCCTGGGGCTTGGCTGTGGCAGGACACTGGGAAGGGGCTGGGATCCCGGGTTGCGAGCCCTGAAAGGCCCAGCCGAGCAGCCTCTGTTTCCCGGAAGGGGAGGCCGGCTGGGGC